CCACAGTCAAAGGCTTTTTATAAGATACACGGCCTGGGCTTCTTCCCAGCGAGGGGAGGGGAGCCAGTAAGGGTATTTTGGAAAAGCTGCTGGAGTGGTTCTGAAGCACAGCTCTGGCTAGAGGATCTCCAAGGTTGCTTCCATCGCCAAAGACTCGACAGTGGTTCTCTGCTGCCCACGCAGGTGCTGTTTGCTGGTGGAAAATACCACTCCCTGAGCACATGCTTCTGCCCTTGCCCTTAATCCCCCTTTGGGAGACACTTCTAGGTCACTTGCCTGATCTTTGAGCTAAAAAAGTTCCCCAAAACAGCAACCCCTGTTAGCAGCCTCTTCTGGGCCCCGTCGACCTCCTGAACCCCCAGTCCCAGCTGTGCTCATACCTGGTCCGCTTCCGCTGGACACCAGGATGGGCCTGAACTGTCTAGGTGCTCCCCCAGCCATGGAGCCTGGATGCTGAGGGATTGATATGTGTTAGCTGAATTTCTTGAACTGCCACAAAAGCATCTTTGTGGCCCCCAAGCTGTGTGATGCTGGGCAGATGACGTCTCCTTGGCTTCTTTCTCTGTGAAATGGAATGAGAATGCCTGCCTCCTTCCTGCGGTAGGAAACCTCAGTGAGACAATGTGTGTAAAGGTGTGGCAAGTTGCGTAAGACTCTTACCACATGCGGAGCCAGACTCCCTCCGTGGGGCTCCCATAACCCTCTCGGGCTTCCCTCATGCTGGACAGTGGCTGGCTGTTGACACGTCTGTCTCCCAGAGGGCCTGGGAGCTGGAGGGAGGGGCTGTTGGCCAAATCCTCTCCATGTGCCCGATCCCCAATGCCCAGCACGGGGCCGAGGCGAGAGGGAGGTACGGATCGGGGGAAAGGTAGAAAGGAAGGTATGAAGGGCTGGTACTCCTAGAGTCCCCAGGGCCAGAGGGTCCAGGGTGGCCCTCCCTGGAGCCTCAGCTGGCAGATGAAGCCTGGTGGTGTCCACTCTTGCCAGCAGGACACACAAGCCACAGCGGCAAACACTTCCTCTCCAGGAAGCTGGTTCTGCCATGTGGGACTCCAACCCGAGGGCAGGGTCGGGAAGGGGGCCTGCTCGGCTATATCCCTAGCAGTTCCAGTTGGTATCCAAGGTCATCCGAGAGCTGAATGTCACCCGTCCGCCCAGGGGCACCCCAGCTGTGAGACTCCTCCGCCCTCCTGAGCACGCTCTTTATCTGCTTGCCAGTGCCCTGGCTGTTGGCTCTGCCAGGAAGGCTCAGCCTGCTCCCCTTTTTCACCCAGTCAGCTTGGATCCACCCAAGATCCCAGCTCACATGTCGTCTCCTCCTTGGAGTCTCTCCCATCTTCTTGAGACAATTCCTCACACCTCCTCTGTGGCTCCCTTTGTTTTGAGTCAAACCACGAATATAGCATGTACTTATTCTCTCCTGGAATCCTGACAATACCCCTGCGTGGTGGCTCCCGTGGGCCCCATTTTAGAGATTATGGTACTGGGGTCAGAGTGGTTACCTACCTTGCCAAAATTCTCTCAAGGCAGAGAAAACTGTGGAAGGTCTCTTCCGTCGGCCCCAGACCTCCCCCCTCGGGGGGAAAGGAGACTGGGTAGGGTGGGACAGGACAGGGCAAAGTCACAGCCAAGACCCCAGCCCCCACAGACTACTTAACGCCAGGCCTGGGTGTGCGTCCTGAGAGCAAGAGGCTTCCCATATTCACAGCAGGTTGGAGCCCAAAGGGTCTCGGAGATGGCCCCTTGGTCCCCTCTGTAGCCAGCAAGCAGGGAGGTGGAGGCAGTGCCCCAGGGCCACAGGCGGCAATGGTGACAGCGCCTTTGTCCTCCCTCCCATCACTGGGGGACAGAGCTGGGCTGGGAACCTCAGCTCTTTCCCCACGGCGCACCTGCCTTCCTTTGCCTGTCTCTTACTCAGTCTGAGTCTCCTGTATTTCTGTCTCTCCTTTGACTTCTCCCTCTCCCTCTCTGAGAGTCTCTCTTTACCAACCTCAAAGCAACCGTCTGTTTCTCCTACTCCATCTCTCTCAGCCCCTGAGTCTGTCCCGGGGTCTTCCTCTGTCTCTGAGTCTTCTCTTCTCAATCTCCACGTGTCTTTCTGTCTCGTCATCTCTCCCCGCATCTTCGACACAGTCTCTTAATCTCGGTCCCATCTCTGTCTCTTTGTCTCTCTGCTTCTTCGCTGCTCTGTCTACGTTCTCTCTGGTTCCATCTCTCTCTCCCTATCTACTGTTGATCCTTCTCTCTGTCCCTTGTATCTTTGTCACTGCTGTTGTCTCTGCCTCTGTGTCTATCTTTGTCACTGTCCCTTTCTGTCTGTGTTCCACTCTTTCTCAGTCTCCCGGACTCTGCCACTATCTTTCTGCCTCTCTTTCTCTCTCCTTGTCTCTGTCACTCACTATCTTCTGAGTCTCTCATTCTGTGTGTGTCTCTCGGTCTCTGACTCTGGGGAGAGCAGTACCTCCTCCACAGCAGCCCCCATCCTTGGCCCGACAGCAAGCCCTGCTTCTAAACTTGCTCCCTGTAGGGGGCGGGGTACCCCCGGGCATCATTCCAGGGCCTGCTCCATCTGGGTGGCAGTGCTGACAGACAAGATACAGATCGGACTTGGTTCTGTCCGGGCCTGAGCAAGGGGCACAGCCGGGCTATGCGGGGGTGTCTGGGTGCCTGCAAATGTTTGCATGTGTGCACGTCTGGGTTTGTGTGCGGGTCTCCCTGTGTGGGGTGGTCTGAGTGTCTGTCTAGATATATTCGTGAGTGTCTGGGCCTGTTTATGTCTGTCTGCAAGCATTTGTGTATGTGTGTCTTTGTGTGGGGCTGTCTGGGTGTAAGGATCCTGGCCTGTGGGTCTATCCATCCATGACAGCCTCAAGGGTGTACATGTGTGTGTGTCTGCGGGCACATATAGGAGTCCCCGGGAGGAACTGGCATCGTGGTGCATCTGCGTGGCTGTCCATGGGCCAGGCCCTATGCTCACATTCTCTCATGTGCTCATCAGTGAGGTACAGATCCTATTACCCTATTTGACAGGTAGAAAAGTTGAGGCCCTTAATCCCCATGCTTGGATGTGTGACTATGAATATATGTATCTGCTTGAGGTTAAGAGCTTGGGGTCTGGGGCCAGACAGACCTGCTTCAAATTCTGCTTGACCCCAGGCAAGTCGGCTACTCTTGGGTCATTCTGAATTCATTCAGCAAAAATGTATCAATCACAAACAAACAAAAAAAACCCATGGCACTAGAAGCAGACTAGGAGCTCCCTTGGGAGGGGGTGACAGGGAGGGGACCCAAAGGAGCCTTTGCGGGGCTGTAAAGTTCCCATATCTTGATTGGGGTGGTGGTAACATGCATGTATTCTTTTGGAAAACATTAATCAAGCTGCTTGTTTCAAATGTGTGCACTGTATGCACATTATACATTAGTATAAAAGTTTACCAAGGGGCCAGCCCGGTGGTGAAGTGGTTAAGTTTGCGTGCTCCGATACAGCAGCCCAGGGTTTGCAGATTTGGATCCTGGGTGCAGAACTACACACTGCTCATCAAGCCATGTTGTGGCGGTGTCCCAGATACAAAAAATAGAGGAAGATTGGCACAGATATTAGCTCAGGGACAATCTTCCTCACCAAAAAAAAAAAAAAAAAAAGTTTTAAAAAAATTTATTGAGCTCCTACTCTTTGCCAGGCATTACATAGCAATAACAACAATAGAGTCGTGTGTGTGTGTGCTCTTTTAACATTTCAGAAAGTGAGTCAGTCCAGGCTTTAAGCACTCTCAGCCCATTCCTGCCCCACTCCCTTCCCACACCCTGTTCCAACCGAGATGGCAGAGGGAGGAGGAGAGAGACCTCAGTTCTGGGCTGGATTGTTCCCCTGCCCAATCTCTCCTGGCTGTTTTCTCAAGGCAGCTATGATTTTCCCTCTGGATTTTCAAATTGGTGGGCCACTGGGGGACATTTTGCTAGGTAACTACTGGTACTCAGCAAAGCTGGCAACAGAGTGCTCTGCATCAAGGTTCAGAGCAAGAAATGAGGGGTGTAAGATGCCCAGTGGACAGACATCACACCTGCTTGATGCATTCAGCAATGACAGGCAATGCCTGGATACACACATTCCTGCTCTCCACCTGCAAAGTGCTCATGTGTCACTTGTCTGTCATTCAATAAAATATACTGAGCCCCTACTATATGCCAGGCCCTCAGCTGGTCCCTTCAACACACCTTACTTTGCCCTCACTACAACTGTCATGCAAGGGTCATTATCTTCATCATCCAGCTGAGGAAACTGAGGCCCAGAGAGGTGATGACCTCCCTCAGCTCACACTGCTCAACAGTAGAGACTGCAATCTTCTTCTGCCTGTGTCTGATCTCCATCCTCTCTAGATATGTCTTTTGTCTGGGTTTGAGGTTGCCTGAAGCTTTAATAAAGGAACCAAATCCATTTACTTCTGCCCTCTTGGGAGATTTTTAAATTTTGTGCCATTCATTAGGAAAACTGGAATTTAAAGCTAACGTTTAAAGCAGCCCTTTGGTGACAGCGTTCACTCTCATAGGGAAAGGGCTCTCTCATTGCCCGACACACCTTTCCAGCCCAGAGAAGAGCAGAAAAGACAGGCGTGATGGCCTTTGACCTCTATATCGCAAGCATCCAGTAGGGCGTGCTTATTTAATGTTTCAAAGAACAAATGAACGAATTAATGGTATTTTGTTTACATACCCTCCACTTAGCAACATCACACATATTGAGATGATCTCTTGTCTGTTTCTGCCTCCACTCTAAATTCCCTGGGGGTAAGGACTGTACCTACTCCATCTCTGGATCTCGACAAGCAGCCTAACTCCTGGCACAGAAGGAGGATCCCACAAATATTATAAACAGATATTTATAAATTATAAGTAAATATTATAGATAAATAAGGCAAGACTCTGGAATCTATCTGTGGGCTTCAGTAAGACCTCTTAAGTCCTGTCAATTTCACACCCAGCTAAACACCAATGGCACCAACTAGTTTCAATAAGTGGTTTTATTACTGGTTAGATTTTTACAAATTCTGATATTCGAACAGACTTCCACCTTAAAATTCTAAAACAACAAAGCGACCGTTGGAGGGGGTTTGATTTTTTCTTTTTTTTTTTTCTTTTTAGGACTATTCAAAGTAACAAACTTTTTTTTTTTTTTTTTTTTTTTTTTACATTTTTGCTCTGGTCATAAATATACAGAGAGAAAAAGAGGGAGAGAAAAATGAACAAGTCATCCAAAGTATGGAGATAAAACAGTATTCCTAAGGCACGTGGCAGTCTTTGAAAATACAGAAGCTCTAGCCAACTTAAATTATTCGTTGTTTTTTTCCTCGCTCAGTCCACAAAACTGTACAGTGACACAAATGTTGTGTTGCAGATAGATCTTCCAAGTAATTCCTCTGTCCACACCGCTGCGTTAGCCGGGCGCCCAATTATTTTCTTCCTCTGTTTCCAGGCGAGATCCTAAAATGTGGTTAGTTAGTTGCTCAAAGCCTCTATTTTAAAATACACTTGGAATTCAACTAAAGATAATTTCTTTTTTAAAGAAATTGTGGGGTGGGGTCGGGGGGTGGGGGCCGCGAGTCATTAGAAAAGATTGGTCAGAGTCGTTTGTGAGGGGCTGTGAGACTCGTGGCCCTCCAGGTTGCCAGGCACAGAAGTTAAGACGGACGTCACAGTCGGCAGGGTGGGGCTAGTCAAGTCTGTGAGGGTGGTGGGCGTGGTGGAGGGGCTGAGCGAGGCGTTGGAGAGCTCCGAGGCTGGCCCCGATGGCGTCCCCGTCTGCAGTGCCGCCTCGGTCGACTTGTCCACGCCCGTGTTTTCCTGCCGTAAGAGGTTGCGCCTGAACTTGGCCCTGGCGTTCTGAAACCAGACCTGCGGCGGGGCGAGAGCAAGGGCTGGTTAGGGGACCGCAGGAGGGGATGCGGGGGGAAGAGCAGAGCATCCATCCCCACCGCCGCTCCTCCCACCGCCACCTCCCTACCCGCGCTGTTCAACTCAGAGATGCTCATCCGTCTTAGGCAGAGGGGGGAAACAGAAAGTCGGGCTGGCAAGATTTTATTCTTAATAAATTTAAATTTTCCTTTTCTTTAATTGGCTATTGCTGGGTTTCCTCTTCTGTAGGGTTCCAGAGCTGACCTATACTTTCCAATATCATAGCCACTACCCACATGTGGCTACTGGGCACTTGAAGTGTGACTAGTCCGTAAGTGAAAACACACAACAGATTTGAAGGCAGTACGAAAAGAAAGAAGGTAGAATATCTCAATTATAATTTTTATACTGGTTACATGTTGAAGTGATGATATTTTGGATATATTTGGCTAAACAAAACATAAAATTAAATTTAAAATTAATTTTATCTTAAATTAAGATTAATTGAAAATTAATCTTTTTGCTTTTCTAATGTGGCTACTAGAAAAATTTAAATGTAAAATTACATATGTGGCTCACGTTGCATTTCTTTTTTTTTTTTTTTCAGCCCTGAGCTAACTACTGCCAGTCCTCCTCTTTTTTCCTGAGAAAGCCTGGCCCTGAGCTAACATCCGTGCCCATCTTCCTCTACTTTATATGTGGGACGCCTACCACAGCATAGCGTGCCAAGTGGTGCCATGTCTGCACCCGGGATCCAAACCGGCGAACCCCGGGCCACTGAGAAGTGGAATGTGTGGACTTAACCGCCGCGCCACTGGCCCGGCCCTCATGTTGCATTTCTACGGGACAAGGCTGTTCTGGAAGATGTGTACAAACCAAATCTTGATCACTTTTCACAATGCTTGAGAGATTCGGGTTTTTCGGCAGTCGCCTTTAAGCAGACAATAGATCCCACAAGTTCATGTGCGTACAATTTTTAAAGTGTTTCATGGTCAGTAAGCCTGGGAAATATTAGACTGGTGTAAAGAACACATAGGAACCAGTCCATCAAGAGTTACTAAGAGGAAGAAAAAGACACAGATCCGACTCCCCACCACCATCAGCTGGAGGAGCCACCCAGGTATCCTGGAGTCCCGGTTTCAGGTCTCAGGGTGGGGTGGGCAGAGGGGAAACAGCTGCCGAGGTAAACCAAGGCCAAGGAGGTTGTGGCCTGCAGATTCCCCCTCCCGACCTGCCCCAGCCCAGGAGGGTTTATGAGGGCGGTGGGGTGAGTTGCACAGTTAGAACTGAGCTTGGTAAGAAAAGAACACCAGAGCGAGAGAATAAGAGTCTCCATTCATTTTTCCTTGGGTGCAGACACACACACATCCACACCTGTACCTTTGCACACGAGCCCCCCCGCCCCCAAGTGTGCCCACCCGTCTAAATGCACAGACACATCCAGCTGTACCCAAGGTCCTCGAAGTACTTTGGGAGAGGCCTAGGAAATCCAGGCCACTGGGCGGGGTTGGGGCATTGGGGGCTTGTATTTCCCAAAGAAAAAAGCCTGAAAGCCTGGGCCCCTTCACTTCCCTTTGCGTGAGGAAAACACCCGCCAGAAGCCTCCCCATAAAACAGAGGGCCGCGGGGAATTGTACAGATTCTGGGGTGTCCAGTTGCATACTTCCAGATGTGCCTGCATCTGCCTGTCTTCTCAGTGTCTCAGACAGGGGTGGGAAGGGCCGACTCGCGGCCCCACCCTCCCCCGGGAACCACCCCAGCTACAGGGGCCTGAGGCCTCAAACACGCCTTTTTGGTGGCCTAACACAATTTGGCCTCAATTAAAAAGCAGAGCCGAGAGGATCCTGGGGAGAGGAGGGAGACTCGGACCCTGCGAAGTGAGGAAACAAACTCTCTGCCCGGCTCCCCGGATCTTCCCAGGAAGGAGGCATTTTCCCTGGCCTTCTGCCCAAAGCAAGCTCATCGCCCCTTCTAGAGCAAATAAGTCCAGTGCTTCTAAGACCACCCTCAGCGTGCTCTTCTTGGAGTAGAGGGTCTTTCCCTGCCCAGCCTGCAGAAATCTGCAAGAGTGAGACTCTGTGTCCGTATGGCCCACGGAGAAAACGGATGGAGAAAGCCCTCAGAGAGAGGACGTGACTTCCCCAAAGTCTCATGGCAGGTCGGATCAGGAAGGCTGGAGCCTTGGTGCCACCTTTGCCACTGTCTGGGCCTGAGTGTGTGTGATCCTGGAGCATCTCATGTGTCTGACTCTGCAAGTAGTAGCTGGAGCAGGGAGCCCAGGGGTGGTGCACCGCTCAGCGGCCTGGGGCTCCGAGCCCTCGGGAAGGGCTGGAACCAGTTAGCTGCCGGCTGTTTGCTATTTCTCCGGCGTTGCCCCTAACAGTGGTTTGTAAACAATGACACCATCTTCTACAACTGCCTTCTCTGCTTTGCTGGATGTGAGGCGCTGGGAATCTGATGGATGAAAATCAACTCGACTAAAAGCCAGGCTGCTGTGGGGTTTTGTGTTGGAGCTATTGTTCACCTTAAGCGGGGCTTCACCAGAATTCTCTCCCAGGTATTTCAGAAAGTCCCCTTCCAAGAGGTTGTTGAGGCAGGGAACCTAAGTCATGTTCATGTCCCAGGGACATGGCACAGAGACTGGCAAAGATTCAGAATCTGTCATATGCATTGAGATAATAGTAATCATAACAGATAACATTTATGGACCCCTTACTATGTGTCAGACCTCATGCATGCCACACTCTAACGTGCAGTCACAGGCCATGTCTGTGATAAGCCAAGTCGGGGGGTACTATAATTAGCCCCATTTTATAGATTTAAGACCAGAGAGGCTCAGAGGGGTGAAGTCACTTGCCCAAGGTCACACAGAGGCCAAGCTGAGACTGAAATCCAGGAACCCAGGATTATCTGCCATAAAAGGTCCATGCTCTCCTTAACACACGCTCCTGAGTCAGCAAGCGAATGAATGAATGAATGCCCGAGTGAGCGAATAAACACAGAAGCAGCTGTGATGCCGCAGAAAGAGCACTGGACGCAGCCTCCAGTTCTGGTTCTGCCACTGACCAGCCAAGTAATCCTGTGCTGGCCCACTACCTCTGGGCTTGCCTCAGTTTCCCCACCTGTACAAGAGGGTTGGGCCATACCACGTGATGTCACACCATCTCTGCGGCCTCTTTGCTTTCTGATGGGCTGGGGTTCTAGGGCAACTGCCAAAGGAAGGAAGGACGATCTGCTCTTCCCACCCATCTTCTTACACCCACGGCCCTCTCTCTTCCTCTGCGGGGAGCGCCTTAGCCTGGTGCCCAGGGGAGCCTCGATAAGTCCTGGGTGGGTGAGGAGGCCCACATTGCCACATGCTCTCTCCTCAGGCACCAAGTGGCCCTGCAGGCTGTGTTTTGCCTACAGCCCCAACTTCCCCAGAATCCTTTCATCAAAGAGGCCAGGAGGACCAGTGGGAAACCCACTTCGCCTCGCAAATCCTCTCACGGGTCGCTACGGAAACCAGACAAAGCTTCCTGCCCAAAGATGTCCCTCATGGCATTCTTTTACAACATCAAACTAATGGCTGCATCCAAAGTGTCTCATCAGATGGGGCGAGCGCAAGTCACAACAACCATCCTACACATCACAAAGGAAATGTGACCGATGTTATGTGAGGAAAAAAATAAAAAAATGATGTCCTCTGGTATTGCAACTTCATAACAAAGATAAGAGTGATGAATAGTATTCATTCATTAAGTGCCAGACACCCTCTAAGTAAAGTTCTACGCATTTCACACTATTAACTCCGACAAGGTAAGCACTAACTCATTGCCAGGTGAGGAGACTGAGGCACAGAGCCCAGCCAAAGAAGTCGAGCTGAGATGTGAATCCCAGCCCTCACCCACCACTTAACCTCTCCACTGCACACCTGGGGTACTGCTTTCTGTGCTTTTATATGGGTGATTTTTTTCCCCTATTTTTCTAACCTATCTGTATGGTGGTTCTATTATTTTATAAACTTGTTAAAAAGTTTTTTCAAAGAACCAAAATCAACAAGCCCTGGACTGGACATCTTGAATCCTTGGTTCCAGCTCCAGGGCTACAACTGCTTTGCTGTGGGGCCTTGGACAAGTCACTCTACTTCTCTGGGCTTCTAAGAGTTCCCTATCTTCTAAAATGGGAGATTTGGGCCAAATCATCTATGAAACTCCATCCAGCCTCAACCATTGATGCCTAGGTCAGAAACTCCCCAGAGCCTGTGCAAATGACAGAACAATGCTCACTCTCCCCCATTTCACAGGTGGGGAAGCTGAGGCTCAAAGAACTGATGTGACTGGCCCTAACTTAAACCTCACCTCCTCAGGGAAGCCACTCCTGACTGCCTCCTTCACCAGGTCAGGTCCCTGTATTATCTGCTCTCATTTCACTCCCGTGTTTTTCCTTTCTGGCACTTCTTCTATTTTATTTTTGTCAAGAGTCAAATAAGGGTTCTGTGGCCAAATAAATTTGGGAAATGTTAGATCAGAAAAATCTGAATCTCTTCAGGATTTCTCAGTGACTGTATTAATGCTAACGTACTCTGATCGCCAAGAAAAAGACACCAATCTTTACCATTTCCCAAACTTATTTGGACTCAGAATCAGTTAAAAGATACTTTTATTATGAGATATTTCAAATATACAGAAAAATACAGACATGAATCTTATCGCCATTTTAGTTATTTATACAACATCTTATTGCCCATCTGTCTCCCTTCTGGATCGTTCGTTTCCACGGGCCCGTTCACTGTATGGGTGACCGCTGAGTCCTTGGTGCCTCACGCCCCGCCCAGCACACGGCCGAAGGCCGGTGCGTCGGAGGAAGAAGTGAGCGGACAGAGGAAATCCGGTGTCCTCAGTTCCTGAGTTCTCACACAGGTTAATGACGATCACTAGTTGTCGTGAAGATGCTTACTTCTTGATGATGACTTAAAAACATCACGGTGTTTAAAAACATCATGAAGAATGTCTTTAAACTGTTGACGGTTAAAATATATTTTCTTTCAAAGTCACACCAGGAACCCCTAAGGAGATGTCACCCATCCAAACCAATCTGCGCACGACCCCCTCCCCGAGTGCAGGGCATCCTGATAGGCTGCCTTCCTGATCCTTCCCCAGGAAGGGAGAGAGGCAACGCGGAGGGGCATCGTGTCCTGAGGGGGAGTCTCCAAGCATCTGCAAAGCTCAGTGTCTTAATAGACCTGGGTCCAAGGGGCCATTGTGTCTCCTGGTCACCTTCCCCGCTGAAGGCAAATGAGCATTGTGGCTGTCACGCTGCTGCTGCTGAGAACTGTGAGCATTTTTCATGCCCTTAGGGCTTTACAACAGGATTCCTGCTTTCCTACCAAGACATGCCATCTATGACCCACTGCGTCCCCTCTCTCCCACCTGCAATGCTGCATTCTGCAGCTAGATGGGGGGTGTGGGGGGGGGCAGGCAGGAATCACAATCCCCACGCTGCGCTATGTGGGGAAGAGCTACGCAATCAGACCAATCTGGGCTTGACTCCTGGCCTCTTCACTTACTAGCTCGAGACTCAGGGCAAGGGTCCTAGTCTCTCTGAACCTCAGTTTCCTCATCTGCAAAATGAAAATAATTAAATTTTTTAAATGGGTGCAAAAGAGGTTGGTAGACTGAAGCCTGCTGTGTAAATGTGTGTGTGAAATTCATGCGCATTGAGTCCCTAATATACACTTTATAAATTACACTTTATGTCACCTCCACTACTCCTTGCAACCACCTACTGAAGTGTTATTATCATCCCCATTTTATAGCTGAGGCCACTAAGGCTCAGAGAGGTTAAGTCACTTGCTCAAGATCACTCAGAGCAAGTGGGAGAGCTGAGTCTGGACCTCACATCAGCTAATTCCAAATTCCAGCAGGGATCCTGCATGCCAAGCCTACCACGGTGGTGCTTATGCATTACAGATTCAGTAACAGCCTAGAACCCCCTCCACACACACACACACACACACACACACACACGCACGCACACATACATCCTATATCCTCCACCTCTGGGAACAGAGCCTCAACCTCAACCTGCGCCTGCCATGCAGACTCTCTCTGAGGTGGACCACAACCTGCAGGGGGCACCCAAGGCCCAGTACCATTAAGCTGGTGTGGACAAGTAACAAGGAACCATTTCATGGGCACCTATTTTGTGCCAGCAGGCATCATGCTGGAGCCTCCCCATTCATTGTCTCAATCCTCAGGAATCCTCAAGGTACAGACTACTATCACCTCCATTCCACAGATAAGGAGTCTGGCTCAGAGAGGAGAAGTTAAAGTCATTACTGGTAAGTCAGACAGGACTTGAACCAGTCTGTTACCTTCCAAAGCCACGCCACCAGCTGCCTCACCCCAAATTGCTCCCATGCCATCCACCCTAGCCGGCCTATCAGCAGTCAGGACACCTGGGAGAGAGCCCCTCCCAGCCAATGTCCGGCTCCTGTAACCTTGAGCAAATCACTTCATCTCCCTGGTTTTTAAGCTTCTCGTCTGTAAAATGGGTGGGCAAATATCAAGGTAAGGGAGATGAGTGGCTGGGAAGAGAACACTTTGCAAACTGCCACACAATCATGAGCACTTGTGCTATTAGGGGATCTGAAGGACGAGTGCAGGCGATTCGGAGGTCTGGGAGGAGGGCGAACAGCAGTCTGGTATGCCTTATGGATGTGACCGCCCCCACCCCAACAACACACAGGCCTTTGGTGGTACTCACACTCAGAGGCAGTCACTGCTGGGCTGGCTCAGAGGAGAAAGCAATGCCCATTGATCAGCTGGATTTGGACCCAGCTCTGCTACTTACTAGCAAAGTGTGACTCGGGGCAAGTGGAAATCAACTGGGCCTCAGTGTTCTCATCTGTACAGTGGGGGAGGACGGGTCACAACGCCTGATAGTGAGGACTCGGTGAGGAAACGTGTTTCACTGGCCTTTCGAAGTGCCTGCCACACAGTGAGCACTCAGACATTTACTGATAAGTAGACACCCCATAACTGTCGGTGCTTCTCTCCCTCAGGGGGCCCCGCACCCCTGGCTTTTCTGAGTCCACATGGCGGAGGGAGCATGCAGGTGTGAGCCCCAGCCCAGCACTCTACGGGGAAGGGGACAGGGCGAGTGCTTGCCCAGGTCCCTCAGGTGAATCTTTCCTCACACATAGGGTAGTCGGCCCCTCCCCAGGTCTCCCACAGAAGCCCCTTCCAACTGATCACCCTATGGGGAAACTGACTGTGAGTCTGTCTCCACACCTGACAGGTGAATTTCTTCAGGGCCAGGACTGTGGTTCATTCATCTCTGCGTCCCTGGGGTCTAGTGCCCATTGATATTTGGTCAGATGAAAGGATGAGAGAGAACTATGCTAGAAATCCTATTTGCTCCTAAATCAGGTAACCAAGCCTCCTGCCTCACCAAGGCCAGCAGAGACTGGCTCCTCACTCCAGATTCAGATTCAACTACAGGCACTTACTCTTTATTTCATTTAATCTGGATCACTGGGAGAGGTGTGTGTCCTAATGGTGTCCACTTTACAGATGAGAGAGCTATGGCTCAGAGAGGGTAATTAATTTGTCCAAGACACACGGCCAGTGAGCAGAGGAGCAGAATCGAACCCAGGGCTTCCTGAACCCAGCTCTGCCTGACACTTCAAGTCCCTGCTCCTGCCCCCGCCTGCTCCTAGAGGTTGATTCATGGAACCTCCCCCGACCCCAACACATCATAAGGGCATCTACACGGGAAGGATCAAAGTGTCCTACTAACCAGAGAAAAGAGAGGCAACTGCGGGTCCTCGGCCCAAATTCGCCCAGGGCTGAGAAATGGAGGGGACGCTGAGGAGGGTCCCCCGACCTAACCCCAAGGAGGTAAAGTCCCAGGGAAACTGACCAGGGGGATCTGAGACCCCGACCGGCCCTGCGACGCTCTGGCCCCTATTCGCCCCAGGCCAGAGGGACTCACAGGCAAAACGGACCCAAACGGGAGGGGCGGGGCCGCGCTCAGGGGCGGGGGGCGGGCCCAGGGAGGCGCATCAGCGCCCCATTGGCCGCCATCGCCTCCTTCCGCCACGTCACCGAGCCCTCCGAGACGAAGCTGCCCCAGAACCCCTCGGTGCGCAGGGGCGCCCGCAACGAGGCCAGGTGGGCTTGCAGCCCGGACTCCCGGCTCCCCGGAGATCTCCGGACCCTCGACCGCGTCACAGTCCCATTCTGCCCCCGCCGTCACCCCCAAAATGCTTTTCTTTTTTCCTAACAGACTCGTAGGCTCACTTAGGGCGGCTGCGCAGCCCTCCGTGTCCATCACCGTCACTCTCATCCCCTCTGTGTCGCCGCCTCTAGGCCCTCAATACCCAACTACCTGAGGCTGGAGGGCGGGTCAGCCTGTGTCGGACTGAATCCCAGAACCTCCCCTCCTGTTATGAGACCATGGTCAGATCGCTTCATCTCTTGATTTTCTTACCCCAAAATGCCTATTGCTATCCCTACAAGCACATGTTCTGAGGAATAAATTGGTTAAACTTACTATAAAGGGAGATATTCTCCCACCCTGTCATTGTAAGGATGAAGAAACTGAAGTCCAGCGACCAGAATAATTGTTCATACTATTTAATATCAGTTAACTGATTAATGTAGTCAGTGTCGTTCTTGGCTACCAGCCACTGAGCAGCAGGTGTCAGGTACTGTGGTGGACACTTACATCAGCTCAACGCTTCTTCCAATAAGCTGACAGCTTAGATAATTTCTTGTGTCCATTTCACATATGAGGAAACTGAGGCTCAGAGGAGTGAAGTGACTTGCCCAAGACCATGAAATGAGTAAGAGGAGGAGCTGAAGATTTGAGAAGTGGTGGCCCAAGGCTCTGCAGCGAGTTTGGGTCATGCAGGAGCCTGGAACTCCCTAAACTGGGGTTCCTAACATCTTTGGGGTGATGGACAGATTCTTCAGAAATCTGATGAAAGCTCCGGATCCTCCCTTACATATAAGCGCAATTCTGCTCAGTTTCAGAGATTCGAGTCTACTTCCTCCAGCTCCCTGCCGGCAGACCCGGGAGAGCCCCCTCGCCCACCCAGGGGATCTGCCCACATCCCCGCCTCACCAAACCTTGCTTCTGGGAGAGTCTGAGAAACCACAAAGAGTCAGAAGAAAAATCTAGAGAGAGACAGAAAGAAAGAGAGAAACTAAAGAGAGCAAGAAGGAGAGGAGGAAACGGCCAGCAGCAGTTGCTCTGGACCGCATCCTGGGATGAGGGGCCAAGACGGGGCTCTGGATTTATCTGAAAAGCGTGAACCTTTTACAGCATGAACATATTTGAGTGTCACTTGAGCAACAAATAGCAACTAAGAATTGTTTACAAGAAAGAGAACAGACTGAGTGTGAAGACAAAGAGGACTGAGGGATACACATACACAAAACAGAAAAATGGAGGGACAAAAATGGAAAGAGAGAGATGATGTAAAATTAGAAAAAAAGATTGAAATACAGCTAGAGACAGACCAAAGAGATGGAAAATGAGAAAGATAAACAAAGAGAAAGGCAGGCATAGGGCGGAAGTTCCTTCCAAGGCCCACTGCCGCTGTGGGGTTCCGCCCGTGGCCCTGGCGGCCCAGGCGCTCCCACCCCCTCAGCCCCAGCCCCGGCTGACCTGGAGGACCCGCTTGGTGAGGCCAGTCTTTTGCGCGAGCTGCTTCAAGTCCTTGGCGTCGGGGTTGTGGTTAATGGCAAAGTAAGACTTCATGGTCCGAAGCTGGTGGTGCTTGAAGGAAGTGCGCATGCGCTTCGTCTTCTGGCTGCTGGGGTACGGCTGGTCGCGGTCCAGGTGCTCCGCATCGTTCTCATTGCAGCTCAGCGCTGGGAAGGGGACGCAGAGGCGGCAGGTGAGCCTCCTGACCCGCCTCCCCACACTGCCTCGTCCACACCCGCCCCACCGCCACCAAATGTTTCTAGTCTCCGAGCCACACTGCATGTGCCCCACCTCGCTAAGATGGAGATATTGTCCCCATTTTAGAGATTTAGAGGGGAATTTAAGGCTCAGAGAGAGCCACCTGCCCAGGGTCACGCAGCTAGGGAATGCTGGATACAAACCTAGCTCTAGAAGAATCCCCAAACCATCTGAGCCATCAGGTTACAATAATAAAAAATAACAACAGCTAGAACTTGTTGATGGCTTATTTGACTGCAGATGTGCTAAAGGGCTTTACATGCACGCTTCCACTGAATCCTCATCATAACCCTATGAGCCAGGAATTATTTCTCCCTTTTTACAGATGTTGAAACTGAGGCTCAGAAAGGGAAGTCACTTGATTGCCCACGCACCAGTGCAGGGACTCCTGGGCCCACGGTTTTCCTGTTTTCCCCTGTACTCCCTAAGGAGGAGTGGCTGTCTCCGGTCTCCCCCCACCCAGTGTCTGAGGCAGGCACCTAGAAGTTGCCGACTGAGATCTCTCCACTCACTTTCATTTCACTGGCATCAGTTCCCACACCCAAAAGTACAGCCCGACCCCTAGGAAATTGTGTTTTGTACTTTAATCCTCACCACTGCCCTGTGAGGCAGTTGTGGGAGGTTAAGCGGAAATCTCACAGAGTGGCAGAGTTCTAACCAGAAAGGGAAGGAAGTGGGAGGAAGAAATTAACATGGATTCAACACCTAGGGGATGCCTTTGGCTTTACATACATCACAGGGTCTTCACTACAGCTCAAGAGGTGGCTACTGCTATTCACCCCATTTTAGAGATGAGGAAACTGACGCTACGGGAAATGAAGCCACGTGCACACCGCCACACCACTGGTAACTCCTGAGCCTAGATTCAACACTGCGGTCTTTGCTGTTCCTTTCCGCCACATCGCAAAGGCAGACAAAGATGAAGCATGACTCTTTGGGGAGCCCGTCCCCATCCAGAAGGGTCCCAGCTGGGGCCTGGCTGCCAATGCCTGGAAGGCACAGGGAGTAGAGGACAGGGGTGGAAACCTTGGGTCTCAGAAAGTTGCTTGGCAACCTGGCAGCTGATCAGGACTTGGAGGACCCCTCTCCAACATCCCCTCGTCACATCCCAAGCCATCCCACACATAAGGTCTTACTTTGGGAAAAGCCTCATAGGAGATTAATTCGGTCCCCCTAAAGCGGGCAACTGGGAATATATCTTGTGCTCCGTCACATGCCCATAATAAAACTGCCAGATTAAGCAAATAAAAATACAGGTTGCCCAGTTAAATGTGAATTTCAGATAAAGAATGAACTGTTTTTTTTAGTATAAGTATGTCTCAAATATTGCACAGGACATACCCATACTAAAAATTCGTTTGTTGTTTACCTAAAATTCAAATATTGCATAGTATACACTTATACTAAGAAATTATTCGTTGTTTATCTCAAATTCAAACACTGCATGGGATACACATACAGTAAAAATTTATTTGTTGTTTATCCCAAATTCAGATTTAACTGGGCATCCTGCATTTTATCTGGCAACACTGCCTCGGAAGTATTCCTGCTCTCCTGGTGACCTACTCCTCCCCGTGCCCAGGTGGGGAGTAGTCCCTTGCAGTAAGAATCTGCAAGATGCAGGTCCTGTCCCTAACCCGGGAGCTGTCAGCAAGTGAATGGACTTCCATGCATGCGCTAAGGTACCCAAGTCCCCTACTGGGACTGTACTCCCACCAAGAGTGCCCAGAGTGAAGAAAGGGGTCCAGCAATTTAAAGGGGATCAGAGAATGACTCGAAATGGGATCCATGGAAACTGCCCTGCCCCTCCTGCCAGAGCGACCTTCTTCTTGCCCCTAGTCCCCAGCTCCCCAGGGGGAGGGGCAGGCCTCCCCACAGGGGATCTCTGGGCCCATCCCTCTGCCCAGCCCCAGCCTGGGCCTTGCTGCTGTTAATGAGCTCCGTGGGGACCCCAGCGCCCCATGCACCCAAGGGACGTGCCCTGAGTGCGGCCTAGATTGGGGGAGGTGGTTTGGGGGAGAGAGACAGAAAGAGCAGAGAAAGGAGAGAAAGAGACAGAGGTAGAAAGACAGAGAGAATGAAGAGAGAGAAAAGGCGAGGGGGTAGGGAAGAAAGATGGACAGAGCCAGGAAAAAAGAGAGGAGAGACAGAGGAAAAGAAAGCACTGGAGATGGGAAGAACGGGAGAGAGACAGCTACAAAGACAGAAGGACATCAGGAGAGACGCAGAGAGAGCCTGAGGGGATAGCCAGGCCTGGAAATAGGGGGGAATGTGTGGTGGAGTGTCTGGGTTATGGAACTGAATCCCGGGTCTCAAGGAGACCAGATCCCTGCGGGGAGGCCTTTTCCAAAGCCTTACTGGCGGGGCAGTGGTAAAAGGGGAGAGAGGGAAAAGGAGGGGAGGGCAGGAAAGGACCGAGGTAGGGAGGCCGAAGCGGCCAGCGGCCGGGCAGGGGCTGCGCTGGGGGAGCGAGAGCGACGGGGAGCGGCCGTTGGGCTCAGATTTGGCCGGTGCCCCGGGCCCCGCAATCCCGCCCCCAGCGCCCGGCCGGGGTGAGATTCCCCAGGATCGGATCCGGGGAGGAGCGAGGGGCTGAGGGGAGGGGGAGGACCGAGCTTTCTCTCTCTCTCTCTCTCTTTTTTTTTTTCCTCTCAATTAGGCCGATTCAATGGAGCTAAAGAGCTCGTAAAATCATGAATAATTTACTCGTGATCTGTTATTAACCCATCGGGTTTCGAGCTCTTGTCGCTGGGACTGAACCTGTAATCAAATCTGACTTCGCCTCATTTTACTAAAGACGAGATTGTAGGTTCAATTGTCTAAATAATGGATTGGAATCAAATCAGTAATTACGCCGCCAGGCACACACACACAAAAAGCTGGGGCTGGGGGAGGCCGGGCGTCCGGCCGGTCCGCGCGGGACTCCTGCGGCCGTGGCGCGCAGACCCGGCGCAAAGTGCGCGGCCCAGGCCCCTCACTGGCGCCGGCCGCCGGGTCTGCGCCCCGGGCCCGCGGGCAGCCCCGCTCGGGGTTTGGGGAAGGTTTCCGTTCCGCCTCCGGGACCCGGGATGCGCTCTCGGACCAGAGGGGCGGCCAGAGGAGGGCCGCCTCGGCCCCCGCCCCGGAAGGGCTTTCCGACCCTGCGGCGCTCTGGCTGCCTTTCCCTAAGCCGAGGGCCCGGCGCACCGACGGCGGCCCCTCCCCACTCTCCCCGAGCCCACCGCCCGGTGTTAAGGTGCCGCTGCTCCTCCACCGGACTGTCCCTCCCCAGAGCGATGGCCTTGGCAGGCGGTCGGTGTGACTGGGTCCCTGGGTGTGAGACACTCACACAAACAAGCTGGGAGCTCCTGTCCTCACAGTTGGAAACACGCACAGACTCACAGCAATCGCACGCTCCACAGTCCCCTCTTTCCAGTCCCGGCCGCCCCACGGTCCACACTGCGGCCATTTCTCTCCTGCCGATGCCCGGAGGTGGGGGGGGGGGGGGGGTTGAGGACAGAAGCCAGAGTTGAGGAGGCCTGGCTGGGCCCGGCGCAGCCAGGGAGGCGCCCCCTTTTCACAACCTGGTCCCGGGAAGCCCCGAATAAGCGAGCTGCACAGCCACTGCTGGCGCGCCGTGCGCGGTTCCTACGAGTACGGGAAGCCCGAACCAAGGCCAGAGAGGCGCCGGGAGAGAGAAGATCCGGGAACAGAGAAACAGGGAGACACACGCAGAGAGAGAGAGACAGAGAGAAAGGGGGACCGAGAGAGCCGAAAGGAAAAAAGAGAGAGAGAAGCCAAAGCGAAAACGAGGAGACGGCATTCCCTGAGTGGGAATGTCTCGTAGAGGTGCCAGTCCCCAAACTCAGCCTCCAGCCACATCTCCTCGCTCCGTGCGGCGCGGCCTCGCCAGGGAAGGCGACGGAGCAGCAAAAAGCACAAATAAATCTCTGTACCTTCTACCCTTCAGTTCCAAACCTGGTTGCGAACCTGTGTGCCCGGGAAAACATAATCCCGCTCCCTACCCACCCTGCGCCCTGTGGCCGCGTCTGCCCGCTGCTTCCTCCTGGAGGCCGACCCCTCTTCATAAATAGACGTGGCTTTGTTTCAGGGGACCTGGTCTGGACGCAGTTTAGTCTATTTTCAGGGTAGTGGGAGATGAGGAACTGGAGTTTTGGAGAGCGACATCTCTGGTAGAGGCTTCAGCATATCTTAAATCCGCCTCCGCAGACCTGCCTGCAGCCACTTTCCCATTGACCAGACTGGGGGCTGCATTTTCCTCCCGGCTCTGCACACAGACACACACGCCCCCACGACCTTCCAACAAGCAACTTCGTTGGAGCGAATAGGGGATCCTCACCCGCCCCCCCCCATTTTCCTCCCCAGCCAGCTCAGATTTTTAAAGATCAAAACAACCCTGACTTCTTCCCCATGGCCACACTCTCCGCAAAGTCCTGTGTTTGTTTTGTTTTGTTTCCATTTGTGCATCAGACTAAGGGGAAAAGGAGGAAGAAAACAAAATCTCCGAATCCGATTCGGTCACAAACGAAAGAAAGAAAATAATTGCAAATAGACTCTATGTAGTTCAGATGCCCGCGGAGTCGTAAACCTTCCCCGGGCGTGCAGACTTCGGGCAGATGTTGACGGTTCAATTTGCCGGGCCTCAGAACCTCCGCAGCTGTCCTGAGCGGGGAGGGGCGCGGGAGGAGGCAGAGCCTCTCCCGGAACGGCCCGGGGTTCAAAGACGCCGGAAATGCGAACTGAGCCCTCCACCCAACCCCGGCGCGAGGCCAGGCCTACTCTGGTCTCATCCCCGGGTGCTGGCTTCCGAGGGTCGCGGCTCTCATCCCAGCGCCCCGCTGGGGCCCGGAACTTGGAGGAAGGAGCCGGGGGTGAAAACCCAGACCTGGTGGAGCAGGGGGATCGCTCCAGGCACAACGACCCGCCTTGCCTCAAAAGGCTCCTGTGCCCAAGTTTCGAGCCTGCCGCCCTCAGGACACTTTACATGACTGGGCCGCATGCCAGGCCGAGCTCTGTGTCCCCGGCCACCACAAGCCCTTTCTCTTGGGACCCTCGTCGCCCTGCCCCGCTCATCCATCTCCCTAGGTCCCCGCTCTCAGCCGCGCACCCCAGAACTTGTGTGGTGTCGGCTCTGCCTTGCTTTCTCTATCCTCGAAATTTCTGCCCAGCAAAGTGGGGGAAAGGCCCAAACCAAAAAGCCGCCTCTAAAAAATTTCTCAGTGAGGAGGCCCTGCACCCGGGCTGCAATACACTAAAGGACCCTCTCCTCCCGTTATAGCCCACGGCGCACGGGCTGGAGCCCAGGGGGCTAAGGTCCCTTCTCCCCGGTCGTCTGGTGCTTAGGGCCTGGGAAAGCTAAGGGCAAGAGTAACCAGAGTGATATATATATATGTGTGTGCGCATATATATATAAATCACACTGAGAGTCACTCCTGCTCACGGCGTGCGACGCCACGCACTTTCCCCCAACCCGACAGGGGCGCTTGGTGCGCCTCGCACTCACCAGCATTGTAGGCCGCCAGATCCGCCCCGGGACCGGGGCTCTTGCGTTTCCTCGGCCGCCCCTTCTGCACCGTGCCCACACCATTGTAGTAGGGAAGACCCAGCGGGTTGGCCCCGGCTGCGCCCAGCCCTGCGCTCTTGGCCGCAGCAGCTGCGGCTGCGGCTGCCGCCACGTCGGCGTGGTTGAAGTGCGCGGGGTACTCGCCCTGCAGCAGCGCCTCGAAGTGCAAGCGGCAGTAGACCAGGCTGTCCTTCATGCCGAAGTGGTCGCCCGTGGTCAGCATCTTGTTACACGTGGTGCACGTGAAGCAGTTGAGGTGATAAACCAAGTCCCGAGCACGCATCACCATCTCCGAGGCCGAGATGCCCAGGTGGCAGCGGGCGCAGCGCTGCACAGAGAACCGCCTGTAGGGACCATCGAGGGAGGGACTGTGGGGACACACGGTTGGGTACCCCCCATATCCCTCCTCCAGGTGCCGCTGCTGCCACTGGGGGAAATCCCCTCCTCAAGACAGGCAACAGGGTCTTAACTTGGAGGATGGGGGAAAGGGAACTAGATTTTGGCCCAAGTCCGGTCCTACCCTGAAGTATAGGTTCCCTTAACCATTTTCATGCCTACAAAGGCTTCTGTTTTACCCAGAGCCTTAGCAAGCCCTGGGAAAGCCCTTGCCTGGCAGTGGGGGCAGAAAATCCCCACTTGGCCCTTCCTCAACTTTACCCTTACCCTCCACACTAGCATCTGGGAGTGCTACAGACCTTTGTAATTTGGAAGAAACACAGAGACAGGGAGAGAGGTAGACAGAGAGAGAAAGAAAGAGAGACAGAGAGAGAGAGAGAGAGAGAATATAAACAGACCCTAACCCTAAACCCAGAGAGGAGAAACAAGGAATTTGGAGCTCGTTAATGGTTCCAGTTTTTTAATCCTGACAGCTTTCACTCCCATCTCCACGAAAGACTCGGAAATGCAGCCGATCCTATCCCCCAAATCTCCCTCCAACTTGGTTCCACAGCAGCCCAGGCTGCCTGGGTTTGGGGAATGCCTGTTTCTGTTCCTTCTGGTCGACTCAAGAAACTTCAAGGGAAGAAGGGTGCAAGGACCCTCAACCCAAGCTTATTGACCGTCTAAGCTCAGAAGAGAGCAGTTTCTGCTTTTCTCTGGGTTCCTACACTTGATAGACTTTTCCAACAGTTCCTCCAAATTGCTGTCACCCAATTCATGCTGGTTTGGAGAAGGGGCGACCTAAGTAGGGAACCCCGCCTTGGGACTGGAGGGAAAAAAGACCGGCAAGATTGTGTCTGAGACGGGGAGTCCCGAGGGCCAGTGGGTCTCGAGGTGGGGGGCTACCTGTAGTAGTCTTCCTTGCAGTAGATGCTTCCATCCTTGCTGAAACAGGTGAGCTCTGACTCCAGGTTGAGTTTGCACTCGCAGCACTTGAGGCAGCGCATGTGCCACTGCTTGTCGACCGCCAGCAGGTAGTAGCGGTCCGAGATCTTGCCCCCGCAGCCGGCGCACAGCGCAGCGCGGTCACTGCTGATGGACGGCATGGTCTGCGGAGGGAGGGAGGCGGAAGACGGCAGCGCCCGCGTCAGCCTGCGACCCCGCCGCCGCCGCCGCCGCGAGGAAACCGACACCCGCAGCTCCCCCCGTGGCTCTGGCTAGCCCTAAACGCAGAGGGTGCCGCCAGGGTGTGCGGCTCGCTTTCTCCACCCCAAAAGGCCCAAATCCGGGAGGCTCAGAACCCAGGCCCGCCCACGCAAGCCCAAGCCGGCCACAGGCCCAGGCCCGCTGCCGGCCTGGAGAGATCTCCCTCCTTACTTCTCCCCCTTCCTGTCCCCTCTGCCCTTTTCCCAGAAAGGCTCGGACTGTGTTTGGGGACTGGGGCAGCAGTGGCTCCTCCAGTCAAGCCCTCCAAAAGCTCCCCCCAAACTATTTCTTAAAGGAGCCACTGAGGTAGGCCCCAGGAAAAGGGGTCAGATGAGCACTAAAAGTCACCCTTCACACAGACTCCTCTCCGAGGACACAGCAGAGTTCCTGGCCCCCAGCCCCACTATCTCTGGATCCTTAAGCCACAGGTTTAGGCCAGGGCAGATCACAGCAACCTCCGCCCCTCCACCACCTCTGCCACACCGGCTACAGCCCTCTTGGGTCCTGCGAGAGGGTGAGTGAGGTGCAGAGGCACCCTCCAAGTCTCTGCTGCAGGACAGGCCCAATTCAAATCCTCTTCTAAAGCCGGCCAAACTGACAGGCCGAGAGGGTTTAACCAGGGAAGAAGAGCCGCGAAGCCGGAGGCAGTGGGGCTGCTGTGCTTGATTTCCGAGAGAGGCAGCTTCATGCTGCTCCCCACCTCTTCGGCCTCTAAAGGTCACTTCTGGGCCGGCGTGGACAGCGTCTGCTCGTCTGGCCCCTGGGGAGGTCTGAGGCAAGAAACTGGCTATTTGGGGCTGGGCTGCCGGAACCAGGTGTGGAGATCCGAATGGACTCTCCTTTTGCCAGAGCCAGGCCCGGGCCTTAACTCGGAGCCCTGGCCTGGCCAAATCGGGCCGGCCAGGAGGCCCAGGACACGATCAACGAAAAGCGCTTGCCCAGAAGACTTCGAGCTCTGAAATAGCGCTAGAGAGGGAACCCCGATTGCCAAGAGGCGGGGAGCGGCCCAAGCCCGCTGGAGCCCCAGTGCTCCCGGTTGGTTCGCCCTACCGGGCGCTGCAGGCGGCGCCGCCAGCAGCCAGAGCCGAGCGGTGGGAGAGCGCGGAGCTGGCGACCGAAGGGCCCGCGAAGTGAGAAGAGAGCCATCCCCGGCCGAGGGTGGGACTTCACTCCCACTTCGGGAGAAATGCTCTTTTTCACCCTTGGGGTCTGAAATTTCGGTTTCAAACTTGTTTCCCTCCTGCGCCCCAGCAGCCGGGTTTCCCCGGAACCGGGAGCTATGGGCCTTGCATCCTGTCCGCGGATCCCCAGCGCCCAGTCCCGTGCGGCACGAAGGACGCTCCCCAAAGTGCCCCCAAACTTCGGAGAGTAGAGGCGCAGACCGACCCGACCCTATCCCAGCTTTCGGCTCTCGACCCCGCAGCCGTGCGCCTACCGTCTCCGTGTCGCCGCGGTCGATGGCAGAGCTGATGGCAGGAGCCTCGCTCTTGCCCCTTCGGTCCATCTCGTCGATGACCCCGTGCACCTCGGGGCCCGACAGACTGTGGAACAGCATCGCGACGGGACCGGCGGGGCCGGGGGCGCGGCTCCTCCGCGGGAGGGCTTGCCCCCCGTCTCAGCTGCCTGGCGCTCCCGGCGCTAACGGGCCCGGTGCATCGCCACCGCGGCCCCGGCCCCGCCCGAGCTCGGCTGCGCCCCCAGGCCGGGCTCTGGGCCCCGGGCGCCCGCGGGCCAGGACGCCTCCCGCCGAGGCGCGGGGGCAGCTACATCGCGGGGCGCCTGGGCGGCGGCGCCAAAGCCAGGGTCACAAGGGCACCGGGCGGGGGGAAGGGGGGACAGGAGGGGGCGGGAGACGAGGGCAGAGGTCGGCGCCCGCCGCGGGCGCTTTCACGCCGCGGGCATCGCCCGCCCGGCTTCGGCGCCTCGGGCGCAAAGCAGGAGCGCAAACTCTGCCCGAGGCGGCGACGGCTGCGGTCGAGGCTCACCCGGGAGCGGCTAGGTGCCCGCGGTCGCCCAGCTGCCTGGACCTCTCCCCTCCCTGGGGTGCGCCCCCGGCCCAACGCGACCCGCTTAGGCGCTGGGTCGGCGACTGGAGTAGGGTTTTCTCCGAAACCAGCGAGCCGAGCCGAGCCACCAGGAGAATTGAAGAGGAGGAGGAGGAAGAGGAGGAGGAGGAGGTGGAGGAGAAGGAGGAGGAGGCGTAGGAGGAGGAGAAAAAAGAGGAGGAGCAGAGTGGGAGGAGGAGCCGCCGGCCGCGGGCCCAGCCGCGCGCAATGCTCTCCAAGAGCGCGCCGAGCCCAGCCCCGGCTCTGCAGTCCGCGCCAGCCAAGCGTCCGCGCCTTTTCTACAGCCGCGCCTGACATCACGTCCTGCCGCCGCGCCATTGGCCGCCCGGCACCCCAGGCCCTGGCAGCGCGTGCTCCGGGAAGGCGGGAGACCCGAGAGGGAGGGGAGAAGCAAGAGGAGGAGAGGAGCGACGAGATGGTGGGAGCTGGTGGGCGAGGCTGGAGCGAGGGGGCGGGAGGAAGGATAGCGCGGGGTTTGGAGTTTTTAAGCCACGAACAGTTTCCTGCGATTTCTTAGGGGAGGAAAATTAAACCCTCTCTCCTAGCCGTCTCCATCCTAAGAAGGCGCAGCCAGAGGATGCTTTGAGGAGGTCTCACTCCGGTCTCCCTTCGGCCCGGAGCCGCCGCCTCGGGCACGGACTGGGGAGGCCGGGGAAGACAGGCCTGGGGCAGAGCTACGGGAGCCTTTGGCTGCTTCCCGCCGAGCTCAGCCTTTGGCCCAGGCTCCGCGCGCTGGCTGCGGGCGTCCGCGCAGGCCTCCCGGGACCGGCTGAGCCAGAGAGACCAGAGCGGCGGGAGCTGTGACTCCCCGGGGAGGGGGGGCCAACCAGCATATCCTCGCTCCAAGCGAACTAGGGCCAATTTATGGCCCAGCGTGTAGCTCCCTCTCGCTCTTCCTGGTCTCTCTCCAGCCTGGAAGAGTGGGTGCGAGCCTGGCTTTAGGAACTAGGAAAGGAATGGGTTTGAATCCAAGTTCTGCCATTTACCTTCAATGTAACCTTAGGCAAGTGACTTGACTTCCCTTAGCCTGTTTCTGATCTTTTCAGTGGGGGCTCCCTGTACATGGATGTGATGAACGAAAGAAATCATGGATGTAAACTTCTGGGAACATAGTAGGCGCTAAGCAAATTCTTTCACGACTCCCTCTTCCCCTCCATCTCTTCCTATTAAAAACTTTCCCGCTCCGAGGCACATTCAGCACCAGCCAGGTTCTTAAAGACCACAGGCCCATTCTCTGCGCTGGATGCATCATGCCACAGACCCAGCTGTTGATGGAAATCCCTCCTGCAGGCTGGCTGCACCACTTCTCCAAGGACCAATGACCTGGCCTGGCCCATAAATCTCAACCACCCCCAGCCCGCAGACTTCAGGCTCAACCCAGAGTCTCTTGGGGACTCGAGGGCGATACCCAGGTGTGTGGTAAAGACAGATTTAAGAAATAAAAAGTGACTGTAGAGAAAATCTAAATGAACAAGTCAGTTGCAGAGTCCCATCTCCTGGGTCTGCTTTGGACGTGGGTCAGTCTGAAGTGACTTGCTGGTTAGAAGGAGGTAAGGGGCTAGCCAGGATCTACGCAGTTTATCTTACAGAGCACAGAGTTAAGGCAGCACAAAGTCATACTTTCCACATACCATACATAACTTTCAGAAATAAATATGTGTGCTTGTAATGCCCAAGCACATGCACTCATTTCATGCGTGCAAACACACATGTTCATCTCTGTTGGCAAAAACACGGCCAGCAGGAATGTAGAAGTAGGATTCACAAGTGCACATCAAGTGTAAGTGTCCAGCGCCAGGCAGGAGGACCCATCTGTGAAGCAGTAAATTGCATGTTATACATACAATTGCATCCTCAGGCAATTCTACCCAAATCTCTGCATGCACTCCTAGGACGCCATGTTTTGAGTATTTGCAAAAACTCTTGAAGTTACAAGTATGTGTGTACACGCTGCACATCACAGATGCCCCAACGCGCGAGAAGGACCATAAACCCAAAGACGCGCGTGCGCGTGTGTTCACACAGGCGTGTGCTTTGGCGCCTGCACACGGCCCGCGCCCAGGCGCGCGGACGCCTACACGTATACACAGGCATGTTTTACTGACGCATCTGGGGCACTTTCTTTCAAAGAAAGTGGGGAATGAAAATCTAATCTGAGAGTCACCGGGGTTCATCTGGAGGTCGCCCAAGGGGTAGAAAAAAATTGTAACAAGGCTGGAGCGTCTGTCCTTGTTGCAGCTCCGCGCCCGGGCTGGATGGATATGATACGTTTTCGAGAACCCGAGGGGCTGCCGTAGGAGCTGGGGGGCGGGGAGAGGAGTACTCAGTGACTCTCGCCGCGGGTTTCCCAAGAAACATGGAAACACAGCCTGCGGCTCTTCACTCCCCCCAAACGTGTAAGCACACAATTTTGTCCCCACCTCTCTGACCAGCAGCGCACACCCCTTGCTGACCGACCCCAAATTCCCTGGCAGTCAAGATTTCCGCCTGGTGCGTCTGCCTCCTTATCCTTCGGTGTCAGGCTGGGACGCGCTCCGGTCTGCAAGAGGCTAAACTGTGTCTCCCGCCGCGGGGCGGGATCTGGGTGCCCCTGCCCGGGGTTCGGAGGCCGATAACTTTGCTAATCTTCCCCCGGCGGCGGGGGGACGTCGCACAACCTCTAAACCCTGTCCGCGGAGACTAAACACGGAGAGGAACAGGCTGTAAACACACATCCTGACACGTGAGTGACATTTACACGGTGCGAGAAGCCGCAGGCGAGGGGAAGGCAGGGGGTGGGGGGAGCAGGCACCCGCAGGTAAATGGAACATTCGGAGGCACCGGAAACAGCAGCCCCTCGACGCCCCTCCCCCAGATAGGGAAGAAGAATCCCCAAGTCCCTTGAACCTGCCTTTTGTGGGAGGTGACAGGTGAACGGAATTCAGGTCTGGGTACTCTCGCCGCTGCCTACCTCCCCACCATCTGCTTCCTCGCAGACAAGCAGACCCGGCGCATAATGAGGTAGCAGCCTCCAGCCGGCCACCGTGACTAACTCAGAACAAAAGCGCTCCCTCCACGCCTCTTCCAACAAAGGGGCCACCAGCCCCGGCGCTCCCCGAAGGCTGCGGGGCTCCCGGCTGCCGGCTGCGGAGCTGCCGCGCGCAAACTTCCCGGGGCTCCCGGGGCTGCCGGCGCCACCGAGCCGGGGCCGCGGAGGGAGGAAGCACATGCAGCCCAGAGAAAGTGAGGCCGGGCCGGGTGGGGGAAAAGGGGGCGGGAGCAGGGGAGCCGCGGAAGGAGGGTGATTGATCAGTGCGCCGTTCCCGGCGCTCTGTCCCGTTATTAGAGGCGGCCAAAGCAGGGCCACGCAATAACCTCCGAATCGCCAACTAATTGACGCTGCAGGCAACTACTTCATTGTGCGCGCTGGTTTTATGTCTTCATAGCCGGTGATTGACAAGGTGTAATTAGTCATCTCACTCGGTGATAAACATGGGCACCCTCCTCCCGCGGCATCAGGCCGTGTGTACCAGCAGAGGAAGCGATAGTTGACGCTGATATACCATTAAATCAAAATGAAGACGTTCAGAAGTGTGTGTTTGCTGTGACGCTCTGATGGTTTATTTCTCAAATACGGCACCAACAGATTTACTTGATTTGCAAGTTAACTACAACATTAACTGGTTTTATTTATTTTGCCTCTTCCTTCTTCTTCCTAGGCAGGGATGTTGCTCTTGGAGAATGTGAAGACAGTTTGCTTCTTGACAAGCGAGCGAGCGGGCGCCCAGATTTTTGCAGCCTCTCCGAATCTCCCCCGAGGGAACGGCAGGCAGGGAAAACGCCGGAACTGGGAGCCACCAGGGAAGGATTCCGCGCAGGGGGAGCCGCCCTCCTTGGCCCCAGACCGGCCTGCCTGGGGACCCCCTTGGCACTGCCAGTGGGTGACCTGAAACTCTGAGGATGGTGCTGGGGTCTGGGGTCTGGGGAAGCCTCTTGGATGAATAGCTGCAAAGAAGAAAGAGGCAAAAACAACGTTTCTTCTCTGCCTTGAAGCAGACAGGACTGTGTTCTGAAAGCTGTTGGCTACACTCACGGGGCCAGTTGCCTGCCTCCGTTCCCTGAGTAAAGTGTAATGTCTCCTGTTCTCCGGGGTGCACCATTCAGCAAATTATACTCTTTGCTCACTGAAGTGGGTCTTGCTTAGGGAAGTGAGTGTGTGTGTGTGTGTGTGTGTGTGGTGTATGTCCCTCTACAGTGAGGCTGCTATTAGAAGTTCTGGTTACTCATTCCAGAAACCTGGACGTTTAAATTTTAAAAAGGGAGGGAGCATTGCTGGTGGGGCTCTCTGGGATTGTTATGGTCTGTCTTGACTCTAATCTGGTTAGAGAACGGCAGACACTAAACAAAGCCACCAACATATGAAAGTCCACTTCCGGGGTATCATACATGCCCCCAGGAACCCCCCAGTGGGGTATGCTTCCTGCATTTCCCCCATCTCCCTAAGCTCTGTCTCTTGTTTGTATAACAGAGGAATGGTGATTCCTTGCCACTGCACAGGAATGTGGGGTTGTGGACATCTCCAAGAAAAGATGGGGTGAAGCTGAGTC